TCTTTTCCATAGCTTATGCAAACCCAGTTGCTGATGCCTTTCTCTTCTGAATGTCTTGCCAGACCTTCTCTCAAGCCCGCGCAAGGTCAATTACTCATCCCTTTCTTTTCTGACCATCTTGTCAGGTATTTTCTCAATCCTGCGCAAATCAATTACTCATCCATTCCTTTCTTCTGGACATCTTGCCAAACCTTTTCGCAAGCCTGCGCAAAGTCAATTATACAAGCATTTTTCTTCTGGACATCTTGCCAGGTCTTTTCTCAAGTCTGCACAAAATCAATTACTCATTCATTTATTTCTTCTGGACATCTTGCCAGACCTTTTCTCAAGCCTGCGCAAAGTCAATTACTCATCCATTCCTTTCTTCTGGACATCTTGCCTGAGCTTTTCTCAAGCCTGCGCAAAGTCAAATACTCATCCATTCCTTTTTTCTGGACATCTTGCCAGGTCATTTCTCAAGCCTGCGCAAAGTCAATTACACAATCCGTTCTTTTCTTCTGGACATCTTGCCAGGCCTTTTCTCAAGCCTGCGCAAAGTCAATTACACAATCATTCCTTTCTTCTGGACATCTTGCCAAACCTTTTCTCAAGCCTGCGCAAAGTCAATTACACAATCTCTTGGCTCATGGTAACCTTCTCTTTTGCACGTTTTTTCATCGGTAGATGGCACACCTTCCCCTTACTCAAAATGCGATGTCCCCATCGCACGACTAGTTCTCACTGGGAGGTACGCAGACCTTGGCCCACCAACGAGTAGACGGATGTCGGCCCATCAGTCCCAAAAAGGAAGGGTAATCAGTCCTCCCCCTGCTGATAACTCACCTCATCCTCTACTCCGTCCGACCTTTTGCTGCTTACGAGACGGGCGTCATCACTGAGGTACCTCCTCACATCTGGCAGGTAGGTCCAGTCCAAACCTCCCAGGACCCCGTCTTTCCTTAAGGGCTTTCTCGCGAATTGTTCCTCCCGAGTGGTGTTTTCTTGGATCCGGCCTCTTCCTTTCAAGAGAGTTGGGACTCTCAATTAGTTTGCGAGTGCAGTTACGAAGACCTCGCGGTTAGTCCCGAAACGGTTGTAATGATCCGGCAGGGCGGTGTCACTCGCCCTGTGGTGGTTACGGCTTCCACCTGGTACCACGCCTGACTCCTCCCTTTGGACAATGTTGCTCAACTTAACGCTGTCGTGGTCCAGTCCAAACGGTCGTGCCGCCCCTCTACGACATGGCGTGTGGTTGGGGAGAAAACAATGAGACTTAGGAAAAAAAATGACTCTCTCGCCCGTTTGGCTTCACACCCTTGACTTTTAGGTTCTCGACATGAGGCGCAATTTGAACTCCCCGACTAGAGCTCGTTGTCGGAGTTAGTTCCGGACGGCCCGCATCAATCAAAGAGAAAGATGCCTTGGTCCTTCAACCCTCATTTTCCCTTATAAGGAATAGGTCGCGCTGAGACTTTTCCCTTGACGGGTAGAGGTCCTGGGGTTGTGATGCATGCATCACTTTCCCCCTTATGTCGAGACCTGAGACTAGAAGAAAGGGAAAACTCAATCTCTTGCCATTTTCATGGTCGGCCCGACGACCTTACATCAAGTTGCCTAGGGTTCCCTGACTTATGCAATGCAATATCCAATTCTCAAACACTAAATCCAATGCTATTTCCAAGGCTGATTCTCGTGGCTGGTCCGACAGCCTCTCATCAACAAGACCACCTCTTGTGGCCGCTCTCGTGGTCGCTTTCTCAATAGCCATTTTCGCAAGGGCCGACCCGTCGGCTCGCCCTCAATCCTCATCGTTCTCATTCCCCAATATCCATTCCTTATGACCGTCCCTTCGGTCCATACTTCTCTTGTCTTAAGGCTCAACCTTCTTTATCCTGCCCTTCTCATTCTCATTCGTCCATTCTCATGGTTATCTTAATGACCGACCCACCGGCCTTTTCCATCTCTTTCGTCCATCCCATTGACTATTTCAATGACCGACCCACCAACCTTCTCCATCTCTTCCATCCATCCCATTGGTTATTTCAATAAACGACCCACCGGTCTTTTCCATCTCTTCCATCCATCCTATTGGTTATTTCAATGACCGACCCACCGGCCTTTTCCATTTGTTATTGCTCATTCCAGCGCATTCTCAATCATCCTTTCTCAATCAACCTTTCTCAATCAATTATGCAGGGGACCCCAGTGCCTATTTCAAAAGGAATGACCCTTGTCAGGGGCCATTCCCGAACAACCTRGTTAGGGTCGTTCTTTTCCATTCTCAAGTCGAACAGCCTGGTTAGGGCCATTCCTTTCCATTCTCAAGTCGAACAGCCTGATTAGGGCCATTCCTTTCCATCCTCAAGTCGAACAGCCTGGTTAGGGTCATTCCTTTCCATTCTCAAGTCGAACAGCCTAGTTAGGGCCATTCCTTTTCATTCTCAAAGTTAGTGCCCGAGGGGGTGGGCCTCGAGGTTACGGATCTCATTTCTGTCTTAGCGTCTAGTACTCGAGTGGGCCACCTCATCTCAGTTTTCAACGTGTTGTTCCCTTTTTCCATTTCTCGCAGTAATATACTATCCATGCATACATCCGACTTAGCGTCTAGTACTCGAGTTGGGGCTCGCGACCCCAAGCGGCACTAGCCCACCCGGTCGTTCAACCATAGCAAACGACAGGGGTGCCCCCTCTTATTCTCACTCGTTCTGATGACTCAGACCTTGGTTATTCTCAGACTCCTTCATGACTCAGTTGGATTAGGCTCCTAGGGAAGGAGTGTTCTTCACGCCCCTTGATCCATAGGTTCCCTAACCTCTCTTGTACTCGACCAACATTCAATGCCTTGCTTTGCTCGTCAATCCTTACTCAAAATTTCTTTCCTAAAAAAAACACAATCCTCATTTCATCCAAATTTCACAATACACCCTTCCCAACTAGTCTCATCCCATGCCCCATGTCCTTGTCTTGTGTACCCACTTTCGAAGGTAGCTCATCCAAAAGTAGCCTCAACACGCTATCCTCTAACTTATCATGACACAGTCTTAGCTGGCTCTTTCATCACTCACCCTTTGCAAGCTTACTCATACTATACACATTCTGCTCCAATGTTTTGCAAATGAAAAACAGGATTCTTGCTCAACACTCAATTAACATCTAATGCCTATTGTTGTTCTGTGCCTCAATGCGCTCGGCCCCCTGTCCACCCTGTTCCCCAGCCGACTTTCGAACCCCCAGGTCGAAGGTCTCAAATTCTCTCCTTATTCTTGCAATTTTTCGGAGTTTTGCCTCGTTGAAAAAATCCAACGGCGTGGCTTCCACCCCTGCCCTTGCGAGTTCCTGGGTTTTCATAATCCACTCATGCTTGACTACGTCGAGCCATTGCTCAAACCCATGGCTGGGCGTTGGCCCAAACTCATCCTCCCATCTGAAGGCTTCTTCTCGCGGCTGGTGCATCGGAGACCGCCTTTCTTCCCTAGGCCTCGAGATTTCATCCCTCTCATCCCCGCTGTTGATTTCTATAATTTTTGGCACATCTTCCTCCTCGTCCTCCTCGTCCTCCGTCCGTATGGGGCTATATATCCTCCCGCTAGATTCTTTGGATCGTAAGTAAAAGGAATCTCTGTCCCTATCCCATATTCTTCACAATTGTCGTGGCCGTTTCGTCCTTCAAGCGGGCTTTCCCTTCTTTCCTCACCCTCCTCATGCTCGTTGCACATGTCCTGTCTCTCCTCGCTTTCCCCTTGCCAAGGCTCACGTTGTTCGCCCCTATTGGTTCCATTATCGTTGGAGGCCTGAGCCTTATCCCCCATATCTGCATTGCCCCCTTCTCCCACATTTTCCCTTTCCTTCTCGCCCTCACTGTCATATGAGATCTCTATACCTTCTCCCTTGCGGAGGGGCGAGGGTCTTCTACATACGCACTTTTTTCCACCCCTGCCTACCACCGGCCCGCCTATTAGCCCTATGTACAACTTTCTCTTCGCTGTCCTCCTCCCTTGGCTTGGTCCTGCTTCTTCCCTTCCGGTAGGCCTGTTGATTGCCCCACTGTCGTTCTCGTTGCCGAATTCTATTTTTGCTTTTTCTCGTTTTTCTCCTAAGTCCTGTATAACAAAACAACACCCGCAATGCCCCTCATACACGCGTTCCCCCAATCCGGTAGACAACTCCCCTTTCCCAGAATGCTCCCAGTATCCTTCGCATCATGCCCTTTTTATACATTTCCCTCCCTTATGCAAATGCGCCGTTTGTGAAGGTCCCATTATTTTCCCGTCAAAACTATGATACAATGCCCCAACAATCCTTCCTGTCATCGCACAAGACAGTTATCGCAAAATCCCAAGTCATGTTGCCTTTTAACCTCAGTCAGTCCAACCCATTGCCCCAACCCAAAAAAGAAAATGATAGTCCCACGAGCGGAGTGAGAGATTGAACCCTAGTGTGGGCATGACTGTTGTCAGTCCTTAACTTGTTGCCCCTCAGTTTCCTTATCTTCGGCCACCTGAAGCCATTGTTCCACTGGGTCCCGACTTAGAAACCTGACCAATCGTTGCCCCGGAAACGGCCCTTTCAATCCAGTTTCATCCAAGTCTTCCAGTTCGAAGGTGTTCAGTCCCACCCGCTTGGCGACCCGGTAGGGGTCTTTGAACCTCCTCCCCAGCTGCCCAGACCAAGTACTTTCTAGTGTCGAGTTCCTTAGCAATACTGTCTCCCCCACCTGAAGTGGTTCCTTACTGATATTCTTAACATGGTCCCACCTTGCTTTGTCCCTCATCCTGCTGTCTAGCACCCGGTTGGCGATATCTTCCATGACCTCTTCGTTCGTAAGGACCTGCTGACATCTTGCCTCGATTAACTCTTCCGTAGTGATCCGCGGATCATCATCTAACTTGTTCCAGGTAGGTATCAAGGCCTCAACGAGAAAGTCAATCTCCCTTCCGTACCATAGTTCTACTGGGATACATCTCGTTGTCCTCTTAGGTGTCGTTGCCCTCTTTCCACAGGTGCATTGGCCTCCGGGTGATATAGGTCGATAAGTTTGATTGGTACGCAGAGTCTCTTAAGCATTCCCAATACTTCTCGGTTAACAAATTTCATCCTATTGTTTGCTATAAACCTTCTGACGAAAGGATGCCTTAGGTAGAAGTCTTCTATTCAGTCCGCTACACTTCTCCCTGTCTTTTTCTTGAGGGCGACCGCCTCCACGAACCCACTCAAGTTGTCTCGCGCATCTAGAATGTACATGTACCCATCTGTTGATACAGGCATGACCGCAAGGTCAAGGTGGACCAGATGTCCCGGCCCTAGCACGCGCGTAGGTCTAAGCGGCTCGAAAACACGCGCCGAGCTTCGTTCCTGGCAGATAAGGCATGTCTGGCAGTATATGGCGACCATGCCTGCCATGCCTGGCCAATAATAAAGCGGCGCTATCTTTGCAAGAGTTCCTTTGGACGACCGATGTCCTCCTGCTAGTCCGTCATGCATTGCTTGGATAACATCCAACTGCCTAGATCTTCCGCACACAGCTCTTCTAGGCATAGCACCTTCTTCTTTTCGGAACAGATGGCCGCCCCTTAGGACGTACCTCTCGGCCTCCTCCCTTGCTTTAGCGCTGACTTCCGTGGGTTGCTTGTTTCCTACCAGCAACAACCCGATCTCCCGAAAGATCCCTTCGTATATCTGGGCATAGAAAAACTCCCTCCCTTCGTGGTCCTCATCCTTTCTCTCCTGCATCTGGTTTACCATCAATTGCAACTCTTTCTTTTCCCAAGATTCCACTAAGCTCATTACGGCTTTCCGGCCTCCCTCAACCGCCATTGCTATTAGCTCCTCCTTTGGTCCTACTATTGCTCCCCATGAATCTCTCTCCTCTTTACGACCTCGAGTGGTGACGGGTCCTTCTCTAAGTTTTGCTACTACGGCAGGCACCCCTTTCGCCAAAGTCTGGATCAACAGTTCTCTCGACACGCATTCTTCGCCCATCATTTCGTTGTCTACCGCAAAAGTTTCTCCCTCGAATTCAAGGAACGAGTCTATGGGCTCCGCATCCTCCACCCCTTCGGGAGTGATGTGGACCCGACTCAGCCCATCCGCCTTGTTTCTGATTCCAGCAATTCGTTCGATCTTGTAATCGAACTGCCAGATAAATCCTACTCATCTTCCCACCATCGGATCTAGAGGCCTGTAGTTCTTTAAGGCCCCTGCGACATTTGTCGGATCGATCCTTAAGATGAATCGCCTCCCAAATAGGTAGGCCTGGAAGGTCTTGAGGCAATGTAAGATTGCCAAGACCTCCTTTTTGAACTGCGAGTACCGCCGTTCTGCGGAGTTCAGGGTTCTACTTTCGAACCTAATCGGTCTTTCTCTCTCTTCCTCATCCCGTTGAATCAGCACGCCTCCTACGGCCAAGGGTCCTTCATCCGTTTCCAGGATGAACGGTCGTCTCACTTCGTCATTAAAACAAGGTGCTGACAAGGCGACTTGCTCAGATGTCAATATGTCCTTAAGGGTTTGGACGGCTCCTTCTTGCTCCTCCGTCCAATCCATGGTTCCCTCTTCTCTGATCATGGTCCGGATAGGTTTTGCAATCTTCGCAAATTCTTAATGCAGATCCTCCAAAATCCGACCACGCCTAGGAACGTTCTTACCTCCGTTGTCGTGCGCAGGGGTGTTGGCCATTGTGATATCTTGTCCGTCTTCGCCGGATCCGGCTTCCTACCGTACGCTCCACAGCGAAATCCCAATATGGTTACTTCCGGTACTCCTAGAATCCTCTTTGGTCCACTAGCCGTGATGTTGTATACTAGGAATCGGCGGAGTAAGTCCTTGATGTCTTGCAGATGGTCCCATACAAACCTTCGAATCTTCGACTGGACTTCAGTCTCGTCCTTCTCTTGCGCGCCTTTGATCAGATTGTCATCGATGTAAGCCTCACACTTCTCTGGGAACATGTCCCCTGCTATGACGAGCATTTTGCGTTGCGCTTCGGCCACCGCTTTTGTGAAGCCCATAGGGGTCACTTGCATAACGGTGTACGGCCTGTCGTGAACATCCAATGGAAGTTGGTCGTACCCTGAGTATAGACCTATCAGGGAGTAAATGCTCCGGCCGGCGTGCAACTCTGCTAATAAATCGGCCTAAGGCAGCGAGCCAGCATCTCGGATGGTTACCGCATTCAGCTTCTGCAGATCCTGAATCCACCTTAACGTCTTGTTGGGCTTTCGAAAGACGAACCACCAGTTCGCATACGGCGACGCCGTAGGTTTTGCGACAAAGGAGTCAAGTTTTGCTCAAAGAAGGTCTGTCACTTCCATCACTATCCCAAATTTGTAGGACGGACCCTTGTCATTCCAACACTCATGTTCTATGTGGATTCTGATCGGAGGGATCAGCTTTGCGTCCAGCCGTCCCTTTTGGTGATCACTAAAGGCAAATATTAGGTGAAACTTTTGGCAGGTCCTTTTGATCAGGCGGTTTTCCTCTTCCGTTAGGAAACCTTCTACCCCTATCTTCATTGCGTCAGCTACCTCATCTGGTATCCGATGCCCTTTCGTCACTCTTCTCTCTTGGATCACTCGAAGGAAATGCTCCGGCCGGCGTGCGACTTTGCTAAAAAATCGGCCTCAGGCAGTGAGCCAGCATCTCGGATGGTTACCACATTCAGCTTCTGCAGATCCTGAATCCACCTTAACGTCTTGTTGGGCTTTCGAAAGACGAACCACCGGTTCGCATACGGCGACGCTGTAGGTTCTGCGACAAAGGAGTCCATTTTTGCTCGAAGAAGGTCTGTCACTTCCCCCACTCTCCCAAACTCGTAGGACGGACCCTTGTCATTCCAGCACTCATGTTCTACCGTGTGGATTCTGACCGGAGGGATCAGCTTTGCGTCCAACCACCCTTTTTGGTGATCACTAAAGGCAAATGTCAGGTGAAACTCTTGGCAGGTCCTTTTGATCAGGCGGTTTTCCTCTTCCGTTAGGAAACCTTCTACCCCTATCTTCATTGTGTTAGCTACCTCATCTRGTWTYCGATGCCCTTCCGTCGCTCTTCTCTCTTGGATCACTCGAAGGACCTCCTCCTCCTTCTCCATAGCCTCTTCCTTTGACGTCTCTAGCAGGATCGAGACCGGTTTCGCTTTCTTCCCCACCGGCTTGTACTTTCGAACACTTCCTTCCGGGATCTTTCTCCTAAAAAATGAACGGCCGGAATTGCCCTCGTTGCTTCTATGACTCGTGGTTGAATACTTACTAATTTCTCATTCAGACAATACCCTTTTTGCACCTCTCCTTCGGATTTGGCCAGGGTCGCCGAGTCTACTCCTACCTTGTTGTATCTGAGGGCTTTGATGAGCTGCAACAAATCGGGGATCTCGAGCGTGACTTCTGACACGTCCATGCGTATTTTTTTCCGCTTGGGCAGGCGGACACCAAGTTCGACTTCTGATTCATTTTCTGCTACCATAACACCCAGGACCTCGTCCTCTTGCCTCCTCTTCTTCTGAAGCAGACCCATCTTGATCCATTCCTTCTTATTGAAGGCCTCCTCGATCCTCTACCCTCTCTCTCATGCCCTCCATTCGAGCAAAGGCCCCTTTTCGTGTGCTATCTTCGAACGATGGCGACCACGTTGCCAACTTCCCTTTCGGAGGGTCTCCTCCCGTTCTAAGGAGTCGGAGGAGCTCTCCCCGNCTCTCTTGGATCACTCGAAGGACCTCCTCCTCCTTCTCCATAGCCTCTTCCTTTGACGTCTCTAGCAGGATCGAGACCGGTTTCGCTTTCTTCCCTACCGGCTTGTACTTTCGAACACTTCCTTCCGGGATCTTTCTCCTAAAAAATGAACGGCCGGAATTGCCCTCGTTGCTTCTACGACTCGTGGTTGAATACTAACTAATTTCCCATTCAGACAATACCCTTTTTGCACCTCTCCTTCGGATTTGGCCAGGGTCGCCGAGTCTACTCCTACCTTGTGGTATCTGAGGGCTTTGATAAGCTGCAACAAATCGGGGATCTCGAGCGCGACTTCTGGCACGTCCATGCGTACTTCTTTCCGCTTGGGCAGGCTGACACCAAGTTCGACTTTTGACTCCTTTTCTGCTACCATAACACCCAGGACCTCGTCCTCTTGCCTCCTCTTCTTCTGGGGCAGGCCCATCTTGATCCATTCCTTCTTATTGAAGGCCTCTTCGATCATGATCTCTACCCTCTCTCTCATGCCCTCCATTCGAGCAAAGGCCCCTTTTCGTGTGCTATCTTCGAACGACGGCGACCACGTTGCCAACTTCCCTTTCGGAGGGTCTCCTCCCGTTCCAAGGAGTCGGAGGAGCTCTCCCCGGCCGGTCACTGGGTCCTCTATGTCTACCATGTATGAGCCGTCATGCAAGTGCATGCCTATCATTTCTACGTTTGCGCACCATGGTCTCCCGAGGATTATGTCGTGGTCCATTTCCTCCATTACGGTTATCCGCTGAAACGACCAGATCGACTCCCTGACTCCTGCCTTTATTGCGCACTTCGTGACGTACCCTGCGAACGGGATTTCCCCGCCAGCTCCCCGGATGCTCCCTGTTACTTCCTTATTTACCGTATAACCTGTGATTGTTGTGAAATCCCTCCTTATGAGAGTGATTTCCGCTCCCCCGTCTACTAATGCGTCGGTATGATGAGTCCCGATCTGGATTTTCAGCTTCCTTACGGGCAGTACATGAAAGCTAAGCTTTGTCCTGGGTGGTGCCCTCATGACCTCGCTGCCCTCTCGGTCGGGCAAGCTCAAACGGATGTCTGCAAAGGCTTTCTCAAGATCCTCTAAATCCCCGCGACTCCTCTGAAGGTTAGCGACCTCATACGTGGGTTCCTCCTCCCTTTCTTCTTTCGGTGCTTCGGGGTTTTCGTCTATCTCTACTTGCAGCCGAGTTAACAGTTGTCTAAGCCCTTTGAGCAACCTAGGGCTGGCCTGCAGCATGGTCTGAAATGACACCGACACCATGGTCCCTAACAATTTGCTAAGAGTGTCATCGACCTCTGGTATGCTTAAGATCGGAATCTGATACCTAAACTTCTTTTTGGCGGCGGTAACTTTGTCTGTGGGTTCCTCTTCCCTAGGCTTCCCATAGACTTTCTCTGGTTCCCCGGCCTCAGGTTCTGCCTGGGGTATGGAACTCCCAACAACCTCCTCCATTACGGTGTCACGGATAATCCTTTTCCCAACCATCCCTAGCCGAGTAGTCGCATTCACCTTATCACGTCCGTCGTTTTCCAAAATGAAGTTGACCTGCGGCCCGCGGCCCCGAAGTTGATCCCTGATGATTTCGACCACCGGCTCAGCTTCTACGGCTGCTATCGCTAGCCCATGGAGCATGATAACGGCCCGTCGCATCACCCCTGGCGAGTTTCAATTCACCCGTTCTCCATGCGGTCCGAATATCTCTCCCTTTAACGACTTGGTACATCTCCTTTTTAATATATCATGGTTGAGTTTTGGACATGCGCGCACATAGTATCCCATCCCGGTGCAATACCTGCACTGCTCGTTAGCAGGATCCCTCCGTCCGAACCCTCGATTGGCTACACCTGGCGGAACTACGGCTTCCTGGGGAGGGAGGGCGGGTCGGGATACTTGCGCCTGCATAACCAGTAGCGCGTTCTCCACCCTTTCAATTTTGTTGTCGACTCCGTGCACCCGTTCATGCAGACTTTCAGTCCCCTTCTTTACCTTGTCGCCTATCTTACCGGTCAGATCTATAACCTCCCCTTCCTTAAGCAAGGCCAATGTCTCAGTCACTATCGTCTTCTCGGCTAGATCCGTTACCGTACTGAAATCAACGTCCCTAGTGTTTACGAATTTGCTCGTCTGTTGGTAAGCCGACAGGATCTTGTCCTTGTCGAACTCGGAGAACTGCCTGAGGAAGTACTTACTCATTATCCGGTCCATAACCCCGAGGATCCTTAGTGCTACCAAAGTTAACTCCCGTAGGAAGTCATTGTACGTTGCGAAGTTTTTCCTCTGGACTGCCGCTAAATCGGTCTCCGTCGCCATCTTCTCTGCTGCCAGATATTTTCTCATCATCACATCCCGGGTTTCTTTCCAAGACCGCCTCGCGGCCACAATGCCCATTATGTCCCGCCCTAGGCTCAGTGACACATGTTGTCCTAGGTGGTCCATCTTTTCTTCTTCGGTCTATTTCAGCAGCGCAGCTAGGTTCTCATAATCGATCAGGAACTCCGTGATGTTCGCCCCATCGAACGTCAACTTTTTCTTAGCGTCCGCTAGGTAGCCCTGGTTTTTATTCAGTGCTCACGCAAGGGATGATACTATCTTCCTAAGGCCGCCTTTGGAGCTATTGGCCTCGCCTGCCATATTGGTATCCGGCCCTTCCTTGCCGGCCTTTTGTCCCTCTCTGGTCTTCGCGGTTTCTTATGGGTCGAACCATCCCAACACCCTTTCCCTAAGGCTCCAGAGTCCCTCGCATCCTCGCGTGACTGCTGATGTGGTTGGCAGGCGGCTAGCCCTACTATCTATGGCTGGTGGGTTCGTAGCTTTCTCCGCTTCCATCCCCGGGGAGTCCTCTCTTTCTTTCCTCCTTTTGCTCGGAGTTCCCCAACGGTCACTTCCCTTATCCCCTTGCCCAGTTCCGCCTCGGCCAACCCTCCTTCCGTCCCGCGGTTCTTCCTGCAGCGGGCCTTCTTCGTTCCCAGTCATCATTTCCTCGATCAATCTTGCCTTGTATTCCGCGGTACTCTTTCTATCTCTGCTAGTTTGCGCCTCGCATCCGTGACCCTTACTTTCTTTAACACAGCTCCCTCTGAGTTCCAGGGGCTTGTCCTATCCTTATTTCTGCCCTCCTTGGTTTCCTGAGTCCCTTGCCTGCTTCCCCCGACTTTCCCCGAGCTTTCCCCTAAGGAGATTTCCTTCCGGTTGCCTTTGGTACCATCCGGATTTATCGATTCTCTGTCTTTCTGCCCTTCTGTGCTATGCACGGCACTGCCTCCTAAGCCTGGTCCTCCTTCACTCTTACGGTTATCCGTCTCATCCTCCGTTGCCATTTTGCCTAGTTCTGCATAAGCCAAAGAATTCCCAGGACACACGCAACGCGAAGCATTTAGGTTCCCTAGCTTCCCGGCTTCGTTGGCTTATCTTTATTCGGGAAAGAGCCTTTTCCCTATCTCCGTTTCCTGATTGTTTCCCTAAAAAGGAGTCACGGCTGACCCTGCTGCCCTGTCGAGCTAAGGGCGTGACTTAGTTTCCTTTATCACAGGCTCGTTTAGAGCGTCCTTGCCTCGTCGGGCCGATGCATAGGAGTCCGGGTTAGGCATCCTGCTAGGGAAAGTTTCCCGAGCAGTATTTTCCTTTCCGACCTTCAGGGTCACGACAACCATTAGGAGTCTACCCCCTCCTTTGTTTTCTAGCGGGTTTTGATCATTCGAGTCCGGGGGCCCTTTCTTATTTCCATAGCGACTGTACTTGATTTGCCCTATTAGCCCGCCCCCCGGTGCTAGTCCCGTTTTCGCCCACATGGCCCTTCCGGTTCGGTAGGCTCCTCGAATAGTTGTGCCACCCCCGCTAAATAACTTTCTTCTATCTCGATTTCCCTTTGGATTATGCGCTCGCATCCCGCCCAGTCTAGCCGTGGCGCCCTAGACATCAGGATGTGGATGACTTCCAGTAACTCGTGGGCCCTGTTTCCCCAGAACGGCCCATGCTCCACAGCGACATCGTAGAACATCCCAATGGTCGGGGAGGGGAAGTGGTCCACCCAGACTATCGCCGAGTCTGCCAGCTCCTGCGCCCTTGCGAGGCTCCCGAAGACGAGGTCTATCATAAAACGGGGAACTCGGCACCTCAGCGGTGTGGTTGGTGCCCTGAATTCCCTCCAACCTCCCATTTCCACCCGGGTAAGTAAGTCCACGTTTCTCCTACCCCTGACCGATTGTCCTATCTGTATCAACACCCGGGCCGCCCTCCGAAAGACGGGAGCCAGCTCGTGGCCTTGCGCTATTTCCACCCCCAACGAGTGCCAGCCAATCTCGGGCAGATACATGGTCCCGGTAACTTCCAAACTGGAAAATAAGTCCTCCCCAGGTCCCCGGTTGATTCTCATCCCCGTCCACCGACATTCTACCAACATGAAGGCGGTGTCTCTCCCCAAAGTTACGGCCCGCCATTCTACGTCGAATCCCCAATAGTTGGAACTCGATGGGAGGGACACTTCCCATCGTCCGCCGTTATTCCAGGGCGGTCCGGGGTACTGGGGCTGGCGTTCCATTCGCACATGGGGCGGGCGTTCCATTCACACACGTCTTGCTGCCATTATTGCCTTGGTGATTCCCTGCATAGTCCACATAGAAAGTGTCACAGCCAACCCTCAGTAAACGTCCACCTACTGCCCCCTTACCCTTTATGTTCTCATCCTTCCTTTTTGGTCCGACTACCCTTCCATATCCCCAGGAGCCGCAACCTCCTCCGGTTGTTTGTACAGCCGGTAAAGGTCATCTACGTAGGTCGCGCCCCGACCTACTTCCCGCCGGATGGCTCTCCACATAGACTCATCACTTATTTGCGGAACTCCCGGCCTAGTATTTACTGCCGCTCGTAGTATGCACAACACCTCGTGCCCTTGTTCGTCTTCAAAAGGTCCCATCTCTAGGAATGCCTGGTAGTACTCTCGATACACTAATGTCTCATCAAAACTCAGTCTAGTTATGGTCTACCCCCCGCTCCACTCGATCTACGCCTCCCATTTGTCTTAGTAAAAAGGGCGGTAGACTCATTCGTATGATCTCATTTGGCAACCCAAAGGCCCCTGCTGCGGCAATTTTTACCTTAGCCGTCACGTCGTCTCGCTCCGGGACCGCGAACTCAAACCCTTCCCGCCAGGTTATTTGCCATGCTCCTTCAAACATTTGTACGGGGTCATCCCCGAATGCCAAGGCAATCCCGAAGGTCCGCCATCCTTCTTCCGACAGGTGTAGGGATCTCGTCCCATATACGCGCCCTGGGAGTTCCAAGTTTATGCCTCTGAATTCTCCTCTCGCATGCCACTCCAGCTCTACTACTAGGTACACTGCGTCTTCCACCAATTCTACCCACGCCCAGTCCATTACCGGGTTACCACGTTTCTTGCTGGCAGGCTTATTTCGACCCTGCCCCCTGATGCTCTTGGTGGTACGATCCCGCGAGGCCTATCCTCCCAGAATGTCATTCGTCGGGCCATCTTGCAATGTCTCCTTTCCGGCTTCCTTAATCCGACTGTTGCACCCACCAAGATTCCATGCTTTTCGTGTTTTAGTCTTTCAGCGCTCCCTACCTATCGTACACTGGTTATTGCTGCTATCCCTGCCCCATACACGTACAAATTTTCTTCCCCCTTTGGTGTTGCTACCTTCCTTGTTTCAATCCCCTCGCATCCCCTGCTAACTAATGTACACGCCTCCTTCTCTTACGCTACACCCTAGTTCACACACACCCTCCATATTCTGAACTCCCTGCGGTGTTCGATTTTTGGGTCCCTCTAATCGAACCACAGTACCTCAAATAGCGTAAAGACATCGTCCACATAGGATGGCGCGGCCGCCGCCTCCCGGCTAACTATGGCGTCCCAAGCTTCCGCGTCTATCTCTAGGCGGTCATACTTACCTATCCTGAGGACGGTGATGACTTCACTGGCTCTATCGCCGTAGAAAGGCCCATATTTTAAGGACATCCTATAGAATTCCTCGGTCAACCAGGCACATTCTATGTGCACTTCCCTCACGGAGTCGGCCACGTCTGCTATGTGCTCGAATCCTCCGAACCAGTCGGCCACAAACTCGGGGAGGCTTGAGTTCCCTCCATCCTCCCATCACAACCCATCCTGTTGTGCGCAGGCAGGGAGGCTTGAGTTCCCCATGCCGTTGTGCGCAGGCAGGGAGGCTTGAGTTACCCATGCCGTTGTGCGCAGGCAGGGAGGCTTGAGTTCCCTCCATCCTCCCATCACAACCCTGCTACAAACTTCGTCCCACCCCTTGTTGGCGAACCTCTTGCCTTCTTTTCGGGTTCGCGCCTCAGCATCCCCTAGAAGCCACATCGGATCCTGTCACATTGCTAAAGTAGTGCAGAATAGGTGCCACCCATCTTCGGAAAGGACAATCGTCCCGACCGACTCCACTTTGCCCTCTGCTATCTCGTCCCAACCTTCCTCTTTCCTTATTGGGTTCCAAATCCGTTTTGTCCATACATATGATAATTCTCGGGCAACCTCAAAGCCCACCCAGTCGCACGTGGTCCCCCTCCACTCGTTTTTCGTTGGTATAGGCATTTGTATCCCTCCCCTGAGTCGCCTTGGTTCCCATCCCTTGAAGGTGTATTCCATCATCATTTCCTCTCATCTTTCCTCTTCCTGCACAACACCAGGCCACCCGTTCCCCCTACGTCAAGTCACCCTCCTTAGAAGTCGCAGTCCTCTATCTCATCATCTTCGTCCTCATCACTGAAGTCATCCTCTTCGTCGTAGAACAACTCTCTCACCCCTTCCAGAAATGTCTCCCCTATTGCTACATTTCTATAAACTATCTCCCAATTCACGGAGCTAGAGACAAAGACATTGTCTATGCTAAGGCAGTTTAGTATCTCGGTCAGCTCGTCCGCCCAGTTCCCCTCAAACGGCCCCATTTCCACTGACAACCGAAAGAAGTCTTGCCTAGCGCATTGGTATAGTCCGAGGTTCGTTATGGACTGGCATATCCGTACTAGCCGGCTCCAGGTTTCGAAAACTGCCTCCACCAGGAAGGGAGGCAACACACATCGCATGGTTCTGACGGGTCGCCTCATGCTCCCTCTATCCCCAAGTTCCACCCGCATGTCTATCCTTTCCATTTTCATTTCCCTCCGCTGACACGCAGCCCACACAACCTCAGCTTCTGCCTTCCTAAACAGTTCGTCCGGCGTATTCCCGAGTGCCAACTCTATGACCATAGCATTCTCCCCATCTTGTGACAAGTAGACCCATCCCCGGGCCTCCACTGTCCCTCGGAATTCCAAATCCATTCAGCTTGGAGACAACCTTGTCAAGCTGACATTAGTCCATACTATCTCTATCCAAAGAAACACGTCCTCCCCTTCCAGCATTGCCGTTTGATACGCATGTTCAAGGTCCGTCCATATTCCATCCTCCGGGAGGACGACCAATACCCCATCCTTTACATCTACTGGCATTTCCGGTCCGCTGGTATAGATCGGGGGGGGCAACCATCGCGCCATCTTGTTTCAACACCCGACCCCTGTTTTCATAAAAGAATATCAACCTGTCCTTCTGGTCAGGTCAACCCTTGTCCTAGATGAGAATTATTTCACACCCCTCATCAAGGTCTCCCTAATTTACCTCCCCATTCCTAAGTACCTCTTTCCCATAATACCCTCGGTCAGCCATCCATTCCCTCCACGTTCCTTCTCTTGGTTCCATTCCAACTGACCTCTATCCTCCTTCCTTCCGATCATCTCTCACTCGTGTGGACTTAGAAGGGAGGGGGAATAGACTTAGAAATATGCCCGTCCAACAATGCATGCTCAACCAATCTTTACGGAGGGGGGAACACATAAAAGAAAAATCAGGCAGTCTCACAAACGGACCGGTCATCTCCTCACCGGCCATCCCCAATATGGTCTCTCCGCTGATACTATCGGTAGGGTTTTATCCCATACCTCAAGCGGAGCTCAACCGTCACGAGCGCGGTACCTAGGCTCCGGCAAGGCGTTAGCCCTTTCCTTGTACCCAGAATACCCATCCCGTCTTGCCGCTCTTCCACATCCATACCGACACCGAGGGTTACCCCGTGTGCCTAAGTACAGGGAAAAAAGTCAGTCGTCCGGGCATTCACTTCCATCGGTCGGATAAGAATCATCCTTTCCCAAACCATGCTACGAGAAGCTACTAATCGTCTCCGAGGCTCCGTCTATGTCCGCATGCAGTGGTACTCCCCCCGCCATCCAACAAGCTAAGCCCCGCCTGAGGTGACGTTTCGCACCCCGCCCGACAGCTCGGTGGCCTGACTTCCACTCACGAACACACGGCAACCTACAAAAAGAGAGCGACGTTTTGCAACCCGCACCGGCCGGTGCAAACCAATCCTTTCCTTCCGAAAGGCAGGATGCTCGAATCCCATCATGCAAACACAATTCCCAAGTGGGACACACATAGTACAAGTGCCTTTCCCTTGGTGCTCCCAGCGCTTCCTACCCATAACTCACATTTTCTCTCAGGACAATGAGTGTCACTCCCCCTATTTTCATACATAGTGGTTGGTTCCTTCTCGTGAGAGTCTAGCAACTCCCTTCATTCCTTTTCTCTTCACTTATCTGTCCTTTCATAGGGTGAGATTGTTCCTTCTTGATAACCCGTTGTGTTCATGTTGGTTCCTTCAAGCATTTAAAAAAAAGGTGCAAAGTGAATGAGCCCACTGGGCTCAAAGAAGAAGATAGAAGGGCACCCGTCCGGCCGGATCACTCCGCCGCGGGATTTTCATTGGAGCCCGGCCTAAGCCAAGCACCAGCCGCCTGCCAGGTAACCGGAGCCCTTCTTTCATACGAAGAGGAAGGGTCGACCTGCAACTTGCCCAAGGCTTCCCCGGACTGGCGAACACCAGCACCGGACGAAGGATGGCTAGAGTCATTCCACAAGGAAATGGTTGATCAAGTGCATAGCATGCATGTTATACCTGCAGGCCTGGCCATGCCATGCGCCCAGCCACTCTCAAATCTGATTTCTCACAAGGGAAAGAGCAAGCACAAGTCCATTTTCCTTACCTTGGGTTGTGTACACGTCAATGCGTCGGGCGCCCCCGTCGGAATCGCAAGGGTCAATTTAACCCCATGCCCGACATCTCCACCATTTTTGTAGGGCAAAACCCCGGTAGACTTTCGAGCCTTAGTCGACCACACTGAGGGTTCCGGTTGGCTCGGCCCGCCCACACTCATGCTCAGGGCGCGGGCCATTCGTCCCAAGGTCACCCCCACCTAGTGCTTTGAGATGGATGGGGGTGGGCCATTGCGCGAGAGAGCTTTGACATTGGGGATGTAGCTCAGCCCTGAGGCCGGGTGGTAGTCTCGCTGGTCACTCCGTAGCGCTGATTTTTTTCGATTCTTTGTTGTGTTACCAAGCAATTGCTCCTTCCAATACGCAGGCAGTCCAGGGGTTCTTTGAGAGTCTTTCTTCCTTTGTACGCAGGCTAAGCGTCATCCTTAGGCCGCACACAATTTCCCTAAACCTCGTGTACCTACGGCGTCATCGGGGTGCGGCGAAGCCGTCTTACCCCTCGGCTCTACGCCCCGGTTGGGCCTCATGCATCTTAATCAACTCCATTGCCGCGGGCCCCTTAGTCTCTTCGGGGCCTTTACGTGCAATCATACCATCACCTTTCCCTTGGCAAGATTGCACTTCGTTTTTCTTATCTACCCCCAAATTCTCAAAAGCAAGAGTCATTTTCATGGGTTGGTTTTATGCTAGGGTCCCGTAGCCCCTTTCTCCCTCTTCCCTTTCCCTCTTGGTGCCCGGTTCCTCCCGACCCCATCCCGCTTAAGGCATCCTTAGCCCTCACTCACCTGCACAATCCCACACAAGGCAAAGATCCATACAAATCCCCTGTTGGGGGTCAACACATAGCCCTTCCCACATGCCTATCCTTTTCATGCTCTTTGGCTGTTCTTTGTTCCCTTTCCTTGCTCAATCAGCCCTTCCTCTTCTCATAGTCATGCAGTCGGGGAAATCGTTGAGTCAAACTGACCTTGCTTATTATTTCACTTTCTCCAGATCTCGTCCTTTCTCACTTTCCCACCGTCCTTTTTCTTTGCCTTCTTGGTGGCACAAGGGACCGGCTACCCTCCCCTTGCCCTCTTTCTCCACCAAGTGAGGTCTGATCTCTTCTTACCGTTTGCACCCTGGCAATGTACCACGTGAGGGGAGAAGGGTTAGTCATATGCCAAGTGAGGGGAAGAGAGAGAGAGAGAGTGAGAAATCGAGAGAGAGAGAAAGAGAGAGAGAAGAGGAGAGAGAGAGGGAGAAAGAGAAAAGGAGGGAGGGAGAAGGAGAGAGAGAAGAGATTTTTAATCCTAATCAAGTCATCACCCGTAGTAGCAGCCAAAAGTTGGTCACCCATCCCATAGTAAAAGATCAACTAAGCATGAACCGGATGCTATAACACACATGAACTTGCCAATTGAGGAACAAAGACTAGCGGAAAGCACATGCTCATAGAGAAGAGATCAACTAAGTAAGATCCGGAACATCACAACATACATGGACATGACAAGGAGAAGCTAGAACTAGTGGAAAAGCACATGCACATAGAGGAAAGTTCAACCGGAACATCACACCAAGCATGAACATGACAATGAGAGGCTAGAACTAATGGAAAGCACANCAACCGGAACATCACACCAAGCATGAACATGACAATGAGAGGCTAGAACTAATGGAAAGCACATGCATATAGAGAAGAGATCAACTAAGTAAGATCCGGAACATCACAACACACATGGACATCACAATGAGAAGCTAGAACTAGTGGAAAAACACATGCACATAAAGAAAAGATCATCTAAGTGAGATCCGGAACATCACAACACACATGGACATGACAATGAGAAGCTAGAGCTAGTGGAAGAGCACATGCATATAGAGGAAAGATCAACCGGAACATCACACCAAGCACGAACATGACAATCAGAGGCTAGAACTAATGGAAAGCACATGCACATAGAGAAGAGATCAACTAAGTAAGATCCGGAACATCACGACACACATGGACATGACAATAAGAAGCTAGACTAGTGGAAAGCACACGCACATAGAGAGGAGATCAACTAAGCAAGATCCGGAACATGACATCAAGCATGAACATAACAATGAGAAGCTAAACTAATGGAAAGCACATGCATATAGAGAAGAGATCAACTAAGAAAGATCCGGAACATCACAACACACATGGACATGACAATGAGAAGCTAGAATAGTGGAAAACACATGCATATAGAGAGGAGGTCAATTAAACAAGATCCGGAACATGACATCACACATCGACATGACAATGAGAAGCTAGACTAGTGAAAACACATGCACAAAGAGAGGAGATCAACTAAACAAGATCCGGTACATCACAACACACATGAGAGGCTAGACTAGTGGAAAGCACATGCGCATAGAGAGGAGATCAACTAAACAAGATGGCATTAAGCATGAACATGACAATGAGAAGTTAGAACTAATGGAAAGCACATGCACATAGGGAAGAGATCATCTAAATAAGAACCGGTGCATCACAACACACATGGACATGACAATGAGAAGCTAGACTAGTGGAGAGCACATGCACATAGAGACGAGATCAAATAAACAAGATCCGGAACATGACCTTATATCATGTGAGAGAAAGCAAGAGTTTAAGTAGGCAAGATCACCAAGGTTGAACCGAAAGCCATCTATGAAAGAAGCGGTGCACTACTTACTAGTGTATGAGTGAAAAGCATGAGTGTCAATAGCCCAAATCACGAAGATTGCACCAAAGATCATTCATGACAGTTGCGGTGCACTACCTACTAGTGTATGAGTGAAAAGCATGAGTGTGAGTAGCCCAAATCACCAAGATTGCATCAAAGATCATCCATAGAAGTAGCGGTGCACTACCTACTAGTGTATGAGTGAAAAGCACGAGTGTGAGTAGCTCAAATCACCAAGATTGAACCCAAGATCATCCATGGAAGTTGCGGTACACTACCTACTACCATATGAGTAAAAAGCATGAGTGTGAGTAGCCTAAATCACCAAGATTGATCCAATGATCATCCATGAAAGTAGCGGTGCATTACCTACTAGTGTACGAGTGAACAACATGATTGTGAGTAGTCCAAATCACCAAGAATGCATCAAAGATCATCCATGAAAGTTGCGGTGCTCTTCCTATTAGTGTATGAGTGAACAACATGAGTGTGGGTAGTCCAAATCACCAAGAATGCATCAAAGATCATCCATGAAAGTTGCGGTGCTCTACCTACTAGTGTTTGAGTGAACAGCATGAGTGTGAATAGCCCAAATCATGAAGAATGCATCAAAGATCATTCATGAAAGTAGCGGTGAACTACCTGCTAGTGTATGAGTGAAGAACATGAGTGTGAATAACCCAAATCATCAAGAATGCA